TTTTTGTTTTTTTCCAGGTAAAGGTTGTGTCCCCTTATAGCCCTCAAAGTGAAGGTTACCAGAGTACGAGGCTCTATGTATCTAGGATATGGCCATGAATGTAGCATGCTTGGGTGAACGAGAACGTCTCGAATCCAATACAAATCATAATTTAAGTTCTGGTGGATGATTTCGTAGATAGTATTTACGATTCTATCCAGGTATGTATACCTATACTCATATTTTATTCCTTCTCTCTCTTTAAAGGCAGCGTCCAGGCAGATCTGAACCTATGGGGCTTTTACGTGGAAAGTACTTTTGGGGCCCTAACTAAGGCACTGCCCAAGCGGCAGCTCAGGTAGTGCTGTAATGGCTGAGATATTCCCCTCGAAACTGGACCCCGAGACCGTGTTTCGCATAAATTCATGGCGCAAAGCGTGGATCCTGGCGCGAAACTGCCACGAATCCATGCGAATACGTTCGCGGGGGCCAGTTTCGAGGGGAATATCTCAGCCATTATAGCACTATCTGAGCTGCCGCTTGGGCAGTGCCTTAGTTAGGGCCCCAAAAGTACTTTCCACGTAAAAGCCCCATAGGTCCAGATCTGCCTGGACGCTGCCTTTAAGTTCCCTGAATCATCATTCATGTAAGTTGCAATCATCTACGTTTCCCATATACTTTGTTTATAGACTGCTCCGCGCCGACGCTCGCCAGATGCCACTAGATAAGAGGGAGGAGCTGCCTGAGACACTGAGGACGATACGACCATCGAGCCACCACGTCTATGGGCTCCAATCCCTTTTTTCTTGTTGTGTTGTTGTTATTTTTGCATTGCTTTCATTGCATGCATTTCTTTGCATTCGTTTTCTATCTGGGAGTTGTTTATGTTTGTTGAAATAACACGTCTAGTAAGGTTGTGTAAGGTGTGTCAAGTTGATTCTCGTAAGTTGATCCCTCTAACCTTAGTTTCTTCCCTTTGCTCTTACACAACAGTTTCTGACTAGATCTTTATCATCATTTCATATCATCATATCATAAATGTGGGGGAACATTATTGGGGAGGGGACCACCGAGCACTCGGGGAATGCCAGGTCATCTGAACTTGGTGGCACCGCCAGTCGGCGTGGGGACTGTCGGACCATCTATCTAGTCTGCGTCTCGACATGTCCATTCCATTGTAAAGCTCGTCCCAAGCTTTCATCCTTGACCATGGCTTCGGAAAAGAATTCATCACAGCATTTGATCATCTTGGAATTTGCATGTTGATCATTTGACCATCATCAACCATGTTGTTATCATTGTCATCATCATCGATCGAGCTATTGTCACCATTGCCATTGATCGCGTTTTATCATACGTCATCACATCATTTGATTGCTGGGCAGATAGCGCTGCTTGCTCGTGCATTAATCATCTGCCATTAGCATTCATCTTTGAAAATCATTCATCTTTTCCGCTATTGCTTTCGTTGTGGGAAACTTCATTGCTGGGTTGTATCTCCTGGATTGCGTCTTCACGTATCGAGGAGTAGCGAGTAAAAGACAAAATAAACAGAAGGGAGAAGCGCACGCTTCCGTACCTCCCGTAAATAAAGTAAAGCTCGTCCTCGAGCGGAAGACATGAACTTCATTGCAGAATGAGATTGTTATTAGGGTGAACGGTAAAAAATGGGACACCTTGAGAATAATTGCAGATTTCTCAAGGAATAAAAGTGACTGAACTTTCCAATTTTGACGGATATTAGAATAAATTATTCTCTTTCAGATAGCACCTATATAAGGTCATTTAAATAATTGACAATTTTTATAATTGCTAAAATGCAAAGTTAGTTACTTCGAGAAATTATGAAGTTTGAGCAGTATCGGCGCAGTGAAACATGTGAGACCACCCAAAGTACCACTGCTGGAGTGAGTGTTGGGACAGTCACCAAACCCACGACGGCTTGGTGGCTTCAACTCTCAATGTCAGGAGATATGCCCATTAACAGCTTCGAGAACAAAGATACGCGTTATTCAATTCTTTGCAGGTAAACGCATGATTTCTAGGTATCATCTGATAGAACTTTTTACGCTCTATCCATCCATATGCAGTTTACTTCAGATTTTATCTATCTTCGGAAAATATAGGGCAAAACATGATTTTTTGGTCTTTTGTTGCGCCAAAAATAGCTATTTTTCAGGTTTTTTCGATTTTTTTTCTGAAATTGAAAGGAAATCTCATGCATTTAACGCATCGTTCGAAAGACCACGATGAGCTCTTTCGAATGGTATGTCATTTGTTTTACGACTTTACGGTATAACAGCGCAAGATTGAGGATTGTCCAAAAAACCCTGTTCGAGTTCTTCACGGCGCCACGTGTAGGGTAGTGGAAGAGGAGCCTTAAACGCGTTGTCAGAATAATAAGCGAAGGTCGCCCATGTGAGCGACGTTTGAGTTGCTGCTTACTTGCTGTTGCCAGAAACAAAAAATTGTAAAATGTAATGAAAATCAAGCTGTCCCATTTTTTACCGTTCACCCTAATATTTAAATTGGAGTTGAATTAGAGAATGACTTTTGTGGGGGAATATGAAGAAGGGGTGAAATCACACAAAATAAATTGGTATAAACATTACAACAAGTAAAAATTCAGAAGTAAGACATGAAATATTGAACGGATAGAATGTGTCTCTTTGTTTTCGCTACTCATCGATATCGACATAAATCAGTGAATTTTCAAAACATTTGGTTATCGAATTCACAACAGAGGAAACAATTTCCTAGCGTTGCTCATAAGGGCGTGAAGAAAAAGTGGACGTTTGAAAGCGTTCTTCGACCTGCCAATCGAAGAATTATTTCTTTTTATAGTGCGTATGCTTCCGGCAAACTTACTTTGTACCAGTAGCCGCTGCGTTGATAAAATTTTGTAATGTTGCTACTAGCACTTCTCACTCATTATGAGGCAGACCAATCAGTTTGTCTCAAGCTTGATACATACCTCGCTGCTTACGTATAGGCTAAACCAACGAGCAGCGAAGGCAGCTCTGCTTCGGCTGATCAGCGCTGCAGTCAGCTGCTTCTTGAGTGCTCGTTGAGCGCAAAAACCATCCAAAATAACTGCGCTATCGCCAAGCTTCAAAATGTCAAAAACGATAGAATTAATATCTGCTCCAAGACGAAGGCGGTCGGCCAAATAGGTTGAAAGCATGCGAGGCTGCAGCGCGCGGGCAATTGTCAACCACAGGGCGCACGCACGCTCGGTCAGCGGTCGCTCACGGGAGCGTACGCGCAACCCATGGTTGATAATTGCCCGCGCGCCGCGTGCGCGTTAGCCTTGTATGCTTTCAACCCATTTAGGCGACCGCCTTCGTCATGGAGCAGATATTAGCATGTTTTGAGTTGGATCTGGAGTCATATCACTTTTACGAGGAGTTCTTCATGATCCTTTTTTCATCTTATATTTAAAGCTGAATGTCTGTTTGCCTGTCTGTCTGTCTGTATGTATGTATGTACCCTCGATATCATCCCATATGTCTTCCCTCAACATGACGTGGATTACGTGGCTTGATGAGGCGCCGCCTCGCCTCGGGCTTGCGCCACGTTGCGTGCGCATCTTCGGCGTGATGTGGCAACAAGAAGAACGTGGAAAAGCCTGCGCCACGTTGTGTTGAGCGCCACGTTGCGCCAAATGATGCGCTCGCAACGTGGCGCAAGGGAGGGTATGTACAATTGATTCAACTGGCTGAGCTTCGGCAAAGGCGGGCTTCGTGACCTAATTAGGGCTAGGTAATGATCAGAGAGCACTCGCGCGAGAGACGTAGGTGCGTCGGGGGCGCGAGCGGCCTGCCCTGACGGAGCTAAACCAGTTGAATCAAAGGTATGTATGTATGTATGAATGTATGTATATATGTATGTACAGGGCTTTACATCCTGAGTGTCACAGCCGCCCCGCTCGGCCGCCACGCTTAGGTCCGCGTAGCGTTCGTGGCGCATCGTCCGGGCATTTTGCCAGGTCTCAACCAATGCCGCGCGCGGCCTAAGCGAGGCGGCCGCGTTGGAGGAGCCGCGCAAGCGGAGGCTGTGACTCTTATGTTGAAACGCCCTGTATGTATGTATGTAGGTACGTGTACATGACCAGCCTTCTTGTCGATTTTAAGTTGCAAGCTAGAGCGCGCATATCGCACACAGTCATGGTATGACCATATAATCCACAACGACGCTTCGTCTTAACCTTGGCGCGCTTTGCGGGGTGGAGGACTACAGTCGAATAGAGTTTCCGCTTAATAAAGTGTGCTTGCAGTGTATGTATCGTCTCCTCCACAATTCTCCTCTGCTACCCTTGTGGCGTCGCGGACGTGCCACGTGTGACTAACACATTAGCAACGTTGGCAGCAACACATTGGCAACATGCAGCATTGGCGTGGCCAAAACGAACACATTGTGGCAGGTTGCAAACATGTTGTTGCCACGTTGCCAACATGTTAGCCACACGTGGCAGGTCTGAGACGCAGACCAAGGGTGGCACGAGCTGTGGAGGGGACGATAGGTGATGCGGTAAAATTTGCGCGTGAGCAACGAGCCACGCCAGCAATGCCGGCATTCTGCGCGCGCAATTAGCCGGCGTCACTAGCCGTAGATAGCTATTTGTTTACGCGCAAATTTTACCGTATTTCACCTACAGTGCAAGCAACCATATTAAACTGGAAATCTACTCGACGCACGTCGCCGATTGTAGGATGGTCTCGCGCGGACCCCCTGCAAAAACGCACTTCCATGGATGTGGGGTGCGTATTTGTTGCGGAGGACCGCGGTCCTCCACCCCACTTTGGTCTATACGTCCAAATGAAATCAAGAGTTTGGAATGGGTAGAGGACTATTGTCGCCAGAAGGTGGTGTCTTCAGCGGTCATTTGCAACAAATGCGTACCTTTGCGCTCGCAGGGAGGTGCATTCTTGCAAGAAGTCCGCGAGGGACCCCACCATTCGGCGACATATAGTCCTCCACCCGTTTGGAAAAAGTATGTTGACGATATTTTCGCGTTCTCCAGGGCTATATTCTCGCACCAGAAGGATTTACCATATGTGCGAGGAATCCTGCAATTGACGGCCCGGACGTTTCCATTTTCCAGACGCAAATTACGGAAAAGCGACTGTCACGGCGAGCGGAGGGACCCGAGCAGCGAATTCGTCTCAACGCATCCCATTCCTGCACAATACCATATTTGCACTGTCAATACTAACTTTTGGCTCACATTATTTCGTTCTTCATGACGTCGGCCGGTGTTGCAACAGTACTCAAAGAGCGAGGTTTATAACTTTCAGATAGTAAGCAACATATACATTATCGAATAGTTTCTGAATTCAGTGTTCTTCGCGAAGGATTGCGAAAATTGTAACGCGTTCTCATGCGACGGTACTTTCGATGGATTCTCAAAGACACTTCTCAGACGCGTCAATGAAAGCGATAAGCATGTTCAGATTCTGGTTCTAGTGTCCACTCGCAAACTCGCATTACAGGTAATGACTTGAAGATTTACAACTTTTAAGAAAGATGTACTTTCAAGCTTGAAATGAAGAGCTTGGATTTGAAGCTTTATGATGCTTAACAGTCTTATGGTAAAGTCTAGAGTGTTCGGCTTAACCAGTCTTATGGTGCAGCCAATGTCGGAGTTTGGTGACTCCTTTTGCGTCTATAAAGAAGCTATTACAGCTTTATTGAGACATCAACATGCTCTCGTTCAGGGGTAGAATGCTGCTCCTAATAGGCAGAGCAAAGTGTAGGCCGTATCAGTCAACGGTTCTGCGCTAGTATACAGGGTGTCCGTAAAGTATGTATACACTGTTTGATCGTTAATATCTCTTTTCCCAAGAAGTCTTTTGCCTTGCTTCAGGTACCATTTTGTAGAGGTGGCTTCAACTTAGATTTCCAGTATAGAACGAATCACCCATCTCTCTTCATTACTGTAGGATTACGGTAGAAATTCGAAACATATGGTGTCAATGTGGAAAAAGCTGCCGTTTCACAATTTTTCAAAAAAATGTGAAAACTTGTGTAATAGGGTTTTTATGGACGCTGAGTTCAATATAGTCGTCCTCCCCCCACTAGACACCCAGTGGACGATTTCAAATTTGAACTGGAGCATTATGGTTGCGGCAGAGCGCGGCACATTCGGCTTTTCATTCAAACTCAAAGTTTTTCTTTGCATTTCTCCGACGTTTTATGCAATTTTTTGAGTGCTAACAGTCTTCTTAGTTGAGATTGGAGATTGAATTGCTTTGGGGAATGTTTCGTGCTGTTTTTCAACTTTATTTGAAAATAGAGCTAGAGAGAAGCATAAGGTATGAAACATCGCTAAACAACAACAAACTCGTCAATTCTGATTACAAATGCCATTGAGATAAATGAATTACCATGCAACGACGAGAAATACAAAAGAACACTGCAAGAGCTTGAAACGAATTTGACGGTGCCGCGCTCTGCCGCAATCGGCGTGCTCTAGTTCAAATTCGAATTCGTCCACTGGGTGTCTAGTGGGGGGAGGACGACTATACTCAACTATTCACAAGATTGCGAAGCTTTCTAAACGGTGCAACCGCACTTTTTAGGAACATTGAAAAAATGGCCGCTTCCTCTTACCTGGCATAACTCTTCAATGAGGCATCATAATAAGTTAGGAACTTCACAGTTAGAATCAGCAACTCCAATTAGCCTAGTGTAAAAGTTTTCAGGCTGTTTTGTCTCCTTTCTGAGGCAAAATATGGCCTTTCATGACTCCAAAACCCTCTTTCAACTTTCTACCGTAATCCTACAGTAAAGGAGAAAGATGGACGATTCGCCCTATACTGTAAATCTAAGTTGAAGCCAGCTCTACAAAATGGTACCTGAAGCAAGGCAAAAGACTTCTTGGAAAAAGAGATATTAACGATCAAACAGTGTATACATACTTTACGGATACCCTGTATATGTCTTGCGACGGCGCACCCTCGCATGCGATATGCTTTAAAGGCGGTGTCCGGGCAAAAACTCGATTTTGAGATTTTCTGCTTACCTGGGCCTATTCGCTACGCTGAATCCGAAAATGCAACTGTAGAGCGCGAAAATGGCGAAAAACGGCTCTAACACAGGAGGGAAATCAGCAGGTGTGGTCCTCCCCACTGCGAATTCAGGTTTCCTGCTTCCAGAGCGACCTTCTCGCTTCCGGTTTTAAGTCATTCATTCGCACTTGACCGGTAGCGATGTTAGGACGGCTAGCGGAATCGAGAAAATCGCTCCGGGAGCTGGGAGCGTGAAATCGTAATTGGGAAAGCCCCGCCCACCTGCTGGTTTCCCTCCTGTGTCTCCTTTTTCGCGTTTTCGCGCTTTCCAATGTGGATTTTCGGATTCACCATGGCGAATAGGCCCGTATAAGCACAAAATCCCAAAATCGAGTTTTTGCCTGGACACTGCCTTTAAGGGACCCATCATACTTCGCCGAAAAAAGCCCAAAAGCGCCCAAAAAAGCCCAAAAAAGCCCAAAAGCGCCCAAAGAAGCCCGAAAAAGCCCGAAAAGCCCAAAAAAGTCCGAAAGCGCCAGAAAGAGCCGGAATGTGGAAACGAACTTTTGGTAGAATTCTGACATTATCTTATCATGCGGACGACAGAAAAAGACAAAAAGGCTCGATTGCGAAGTCAACACACATGCCTTAGCGCCAAAACGTGCGAGAAGTGTTCCGGCTCTTTCTGGCGCTTTTGGGCTTTTTTGGGCTTTTTCGGGCTTTTTGGGCTTTTCTGGGCTTTTTCGGGCTTCTTTGGGCTTTTTTCGGCGAAGTATGACGGGTCCCTAACGCTTAGCAGAGTTCGCACGCGTACACCGCACCGTCGCTTGCCGCGGGCTCGACGTCGCATAACCGATGCTGGTTGGTATAGCCTATAAGCAGGGTCAAGCTTGGGGTGTGGCACGCCACACGGGGTCGTATTGGGGTCAGGGAGAGGGGTGGGGTCGTTATCGAAGTGATAGTGATGTTAGCGACATGATGTCAGTCAACAATGTCTGATAGGCCCATTGTGCAACATACTAGCACTGGTTTTTGGCCTATCGTCGTACACGTACCGTAAGCATTATTAAAGAATTCTAAAAGCATAAGAGCATTATTTTCGTAAGCATGTCGAACCCCTGTGGACCAAGTTTCAGCGAATTCTGAGGTTTCCAAATATTGGGACACTCAAGTGAGGTGTTCATTTTGAACATGTTAACTTTGTTTCAAAGGTGAGTATACTTCTTTCTGCACTCAGTACAAAGTACTTCTACTTCTTTGCTTATTTTAAAAATCCCATTTCATTTAATCTCCGAACTCTAGAATTGAGAGCAAGTCAGAGTCTCGTTTGTCCATTTTTCGCTCCTAATATCTCAAACTAGAGAAGACCCAGGTTCAAATCACTTTTATGGAAGTTACTAGGGTTGAGCTATTGAAAATACTTGTTCTTTCCGCCTTCCCACGCGATTTGCGTAGTAGCGCAGACTTAGCATACTACCGTAATCCAATAGCGCAGTGTTTTTCAATTGCATAGCTAAGGAAAAACGAATATATCTCTCCATAGGAGAAACAATTTTGAGTGAAATTCCTGCTTTGTTGAGAAGAAGGTTTAGCAGTAGCAATAGCAGTAGCACATGAAAAGGACAGACATTTGAATGCTTTGAAGAAGTTAATGGGTGTGGCAGAACCCCTAAAAAGCGTGGCAGCCACAGCTTTCCTGGGGTTGTGCCACACCCCGCTAACTTACCTTCAAAAAGAAGTTTAGCGAACATAATATATATAGTTTGATAGCCCGACCTTATAGTTCTCATAGATGGAATTTGGGCTTTGATCATCTTCTTCGCTCTGAGTAAAAGCTGGTGAAAGCGTAGCCATTGAAAGCGAAAAATGGGACAAACGAGATTTTGGCCTGCTTCTAATTCCAGAGTTTGATGATTTGAGGCAGGATTCATGGTATGGGTAGTAGAGACTAATGCTCTGTACTGACAAGGGAATGGTCAGAAGTCGAAGTGGCCAATCCATACAAGCTGCATACCATTCGATGCAGCATAAAATGCTCATTTCGAATCTGTCTTCCATATCAGCAGAGGGCCTTTGTAGGCGAATTTATGAGCAGCTTGACTGCGAAAAAGCCGTGTACAAAAATTGCGAAATTAGGCACATTATTGCTCTTTCAGCTCTCTAGGTACGGGTCATATGAAGTGACCTAGTTGCATGTCTTGGTCCAACACTGAGCCAAGTATCGCTTTGTACGGCCAGGATTGCGCTTTACACGCACAATTTCTTAGCAAAATAATGGCCTTCAACGGCTTATAATTTCGTCCACAAAAGTGCTCTGCAGATAAGGAAGACAGATTTAGACTCAGCGTTTTATGCTGAATCTAATGGTATGCAGCTTGTATGGATTGGCCACTTCGATTTCTGACCATTCCCTTGTGAGTACAAAAAGAGTTAGTTAATTTACTATTAAAATTTGGTTAATTATGTTTGAAAATGACCACTTCACTTGGGTGGTCCATTATTGGGAACCCTCAGAATTTGCTAAAGTTTGGCCCATGGGGGACATGATAATTACGAATATGTGCCTAATTATGCATGGTGAAGACTATATGTCATGCCCATGGAAGGTAAACGAAAATGCTATTGTGGGGAAGTGGGTACTGAGATAGATGATGGGGGGGGGGGGTAGTTCCGGCGCTTGTGCGCGACACCTCCTACTCGACTCTGCCTGTAACTTGAGATGCATCTAATTCACAATCACGTGTTGCAAGTTAGTGACTCAAGGCTACATTGGCGTTCAAACTAAGGGGGAATTGATAAGATTGCAAGAGGTGTCGACTGTATCGACACAGCTCTTAATTAGTGCAAAAGATGACTGGAGTGCGGTGAAGATATTTGCTACATTTCAGATTACCGGAGCGATGAGGAAGTTTACCAAACCTATGTCTATCAAGGTGCATGCTTGCATTGGAGGAACTTCTGTTAATGAGGAAAAGTCAGCGCTAGCGAGCGGTGCTCATATTATCGTTGGTACTCCAGGCCGCGTGAAGCATATCATTTCCTCAAGGTTTCTGGGTAAGCATTTTACCTACATTTTGTTGTTTTTCCAAATGCCTGTGCCATTTTTCATTCTCCAAAAAAGACAAATTGTTGTGACATCTTTTTCACCCTGTTAGAAATGCTCCGATAATAATCATCAATTATTTAAATTTCGGTCAAGCTACAGTCGAGTAGATTTTCCGCTTAATATAGTGGGCATGGACGGAAGGTGAAATGCAGTAACATTTGCGCGGGAACAAGTAGCCACGCCAGTGCTGCAGGCATTTTGCGCGCGCAGTTGGCCTGCGTTGCAGTCAAAGCTATCTATGAGCGGCTCCACAACTTTGGCGAGGCGGAGCTGCGCTAGCGTGCCTTGCGTTGCGGTTGACCTATGCTGAGGCATACCTGATCCATCGATCTTTGGTGAAGGATCACGATCCCGCCTCGCCAAAGTTGGGGAGTCGATAATATTTGTTCACGCGCAAATTTGACAGCAATTTACCTTCTGTGCAAGCACACTGTATTGAGCGGGAAATCTACTCGACTGTAAAAAACCAGAACTGTAGATTCATTTTGTCCTTCAGTACTCAGTGCTCTCAATCTGTTTGTTATGTACAATTTCCTCCCATTATTGAACATGAAGGAAGATTTATCCTCAATAGTAACTTCACTGCCTGAAGACATTCAGGTAACATTAGCCCTATCAATTATACTTTGAAATTTTTCTCGGTTTTCAAGAAAGGCAAATGCGTTTGCACGAGTAGTAGGCCTCTTGGACGGCGACTGATGGAGCAGTTTTGCAAAGAAATGTCTTTGTGCAGCTTTTATTGTGTGTCCGGCGATGCCATACTACAACGAGATGTACCCAAACCCGAGTCGGGTATTGACGATGGCGGAAAAGCCATGGATGATGGTGGAGAAGACTTGGATTGCAAAGGTAAAGGTAGTTTTTTGATTTTTTTATTCTTACATCTGTCCCTACACGGGGTCTACCGCTCTTGTCAGTCTCTTCCATTCTTCTCAATCTACCACTTGTCGTTCATCTAATCCAAGATCTCTCTAGTCTGCTTTCACTCGATCGGTCCATCTTAGCTTTGGTCATCTTCGTGGTTTTTTCCCGGGAACCTCCACTGACATTGCTAACCTTGTGATGTGTCTTTTTCTCGTCTTCTCACGTGCCCGTACCATCGAAGTCGTTATTCTTGCAGCTTCTTGACTATTGGAGCTACTTTCATGGTGGATCGTATCGTATCGTTCGTGACGTGATCGAGCATCGTTACGCCCATCGTCCATCGCAGCATACGTGTTTCGATCACGCCAAGCTTCCACTCGTCGTTACGTGTGCTTGGCCAGCATTGGCCTCCATACAACGCGGTTGGACGGATTACAGTGCGATATATTTGTGACTTCAGCTTCAGTGGCATCCGTTTGGTTTGTCGCACAGAATCCTGTGAGGTCCCTCCATTTCAACCCAAGCTGCGTTTTTTCGGCCGTTTATCTCATCGTGAAGTGAACCATCTGCTGATATGCAACTTCCCAAGTACTTGAACGACGTGGTCCTCTTGATTGCCGTGTCTGCGAGCTTGATCGTTCCTGGTCTAAGGCTCCAGCTCCATGTATTCTGTCTTCGCAGTACTGATCTTCAGATCTGATCATCAGGCCACGTCTGCACATCAGCCTCCAATTCTCTCCTGCTTCTCGCCATCAGGATCACATCGTCTGCGTACATGACGGACCATGGGAGCGGGCATATGAAGTCTCTTACTATCGTGTCCACGACTGTGATGAAGAGTAGCGGCGAAAGTACGGAACCTTGATGCACGCTGGCGTTTATCTGGAAGTCGTCTGAGCGTCCCGCTGCCGTTCGTACGTGGCTGATGGCTTCTTTGTATATCATTCTGATCCAGCGGACGTATTTTTCTGGTACCTCGTGCTTCCGTAGTGCCCACCATATTGATGATGTGGTACTCTATCGAACGCTTTCTCCAGATCGAGGAATGCCGCATGAAGCTCACACTGCTTTTCCCTGCTTCTTTCCATCATTATTCTGTGTGCATGGCATCGGTTGTACTGCATCCCTTTACGAAGCCGCATTGGTGGGGGGGGGGGGGCAATTGTATGATACTTCGAAGCCGCATCTCCAGTATTCTTTCAAAGATCTTCAACGTATGGCATATGAGTCGAATTGGTCTGCTGTGGAGCAATCGGCTATGTCGCCTTTGTTCTTCCATATTGGTACCGTCGTGCTTCTGTACCACTCGTCGGCATATTCCCGGATTCTATTATCTGGTTCAGAAGTCTTGTAAGCCACAAGATTCCAGCTTGTCCACACCGCTTCCAGAAGTCGCTGGGGATGTCGTCTGGACCTGCTGCTTTGCCGTTCTTCATCTTCATTACGGCGGTACGGACTTCAACTTCTGTGTTCGCTGGTACTGGTCCATTGACAGGATCGGCTGTTATCAGGGCCTGGCACGAGTCCGTTTCTAGGTTTTTTGAGAACGAAGTCCCCCTGACTCTCGAAAACCTTACGAAGTCCCCTTTGAACCTTGCTCTACCCCCCCCCCCCCAACTGAGAACAAGCAATCTTACAAAAAACCTTTATTCAAATGCTTAACGTTTTCAAATTCTTCATTTTCAATTTCATTTTCAAAAACATTTTGCTTTATAAGGATAAAGCAACATACTAACGAGGAAACATACACCATTACGAAGAAGTGCTCCACGATTGGTTATGGTTGTGTTAGTCGATGCCCCGCAAACAGATGTGTCTTCTGCATCAACGTATTTCAACGATAGTTGTTCCAATAGTGTCCGAATCTTGTAGCGTGAAATCCGCCGCAGTTCCTTCCAAGTTAGTGTTACAAAGGATTTGGATCGATTTGTTATCCTAAAATCCGAGCTTTATCCAAAAAATGTAAAAGAATTCTAAAAGAAGGTTAATGTAGAAAACGCTATTTTCAATCATTCGGTATCGAACCATAATGATTTGATTGAGAGAAAGCTGTGACCCCGCGGTCCACTAGGACAAAATGTACGTGATAGAAAGAAATTTTAGCAAAATCATCTCCTAACATGAAATTGTTATGCGTATAGATTGCTACTAGCAGCTGACGCAGAATTTCAGCGTGAAGGGACTCGCAAATAATGTTTGAAACTTTTTGGCCTATTATCGCGGAAAAAAGTGCAATCCCAGTGATAATATGGAAACTATTGAAATCTAACTTTCAAAATGCTAATATGGGTAGTTTTAGAAGAAAGAATGGCATTGCAACATAGAAATACAAGCTTTTCAATAATAAGCTGAATAACACTTCTCAAGCTAGGAACAAGAAAGATAAAGAATATGGGATAACTGCTATTTTTAGTAAAGTGAAAAATTAGCGCCAATGTTGCTCAAAGAATGAGGAACTCAAGCAACAGTCTGTGATGACTATCTTTGAAACAGAGGAAGTTAGAAATCAATCCAAATGGATGATACTGACCTTTATTGTAGCAGTCCAAAAGGAGAAATCTGTCTCTTTGCGGTGGAGGTGCCAATGAGAAGTGACTATTCTTCCAATTTCACCTTCAACTAACGCACAGGGCTAGTCGTGCTAAACCAAAACTTCACTTTTCATCAAGGAAACAAATCCAAACAACAAAGGTAATCTCCTACTTCTGACTGCATGTACACAGACAATTCAGAATGATCACCATGACAAACTCGTGTAGCTGAACTCGTAGCGCAAGTATCAGATGGAGCTGAAATGTTGGTCTGTAGGTTGTCTAGCTGCTTAGCTCAATTTTACCAAAAAATATATGAGACTACATACTTTCCAACAAACTTTCGCTAGACTTAATTTCACGCAGGAACTGTTGGATTATTCTGCGATACTAGTAGCCTCCAGATTTTGGTCACCAGCTCGTGCAGGGGTCTTCCCTCCAAATATTTAGGATAAAGTAAAGAATAACGATGACCTAATAAAAGAAAGAATACTGAGAAACAGCTGCCTGATCACTTGAGAAAAATCTAAGATACAGTCTGTCAAGCCTCATAAAATTCGAGATGATGCCGAAGGAATGTGGAACCTACTATGTATTTCGGTGCAGGTGTTCTGTTTGGAGATGCAGCAGAGAATGGACTTCGGAGAGAAGGCTTTTTGATCTAAAACTCGCTTATAAAGATTTGAAACAGATTCAAAAAACTCAAACTTACCTCTTTAGGTTTGGGTGTGGACAGCAAGTTTTCCTTGTCAGCCTGCATTCAGTGAGTAAGCTTTTTCTGGAAATGTAAAAATGAGGAAGGAGAACCCCTAGTAACCCATTTACGACCTGATAAATCACAATCGAGTCGAAAGAAACGAAACAAAAGAAACGTAATCGGCTTTCAAAAAAAGTGAAAATTTAAAGGGAGAGGAGTAGAAAAGTTGATGCTGGGGCGCGATATCTAACAGGACGAGTTTCGGACAAAAAAAGAGGGTAAAAAACGACAGAAAGGAGGCCGTATGGAACTCTCTTTATGCTCAGGGATAGATTTTCGACCGGGGAATCCGTCCATTCTAGAAAAATCCGAAACTTATGTGAAGTGACGGAAATATATGCTCCAGACGATCTCAGATCGTCTGGTGGCCGTCTGTAGACGATCTAATTTTGGAAATGGTACTACTTCACATAAGTTTTCAAATCTTCTTGCATAATCCTTCTGCAAATAATTTTTTATGCATACAGTTCAATTTTGGTGTCATATGCTTTTGTATGCGCTGTAAACAAGCAATTTGCTTATTTTAGCCTTGCTTTCAAATCGCGCGCACTTTTCGCTGTACACGATAGAGCATGTCAATCGCGTGATAACCTGTCCGAAAAGCTTGTGTTCGACTGAATGGCGCTCATACTTAATGCTCGGCCCCGACTCATCAAAAACGATATCACCTTTGCTTTTCGCTCCAAAAATGAAGTCCAGCCTGCTTCCGGACGATCTGTGCCGGGCCCTGGCTGTTATGGTGGACGTATTCGGACTTAGCAGACGCCATCTCTGCGAAGTGAGCTCTCCATCTTTCGTTTATCTCCTGTGGCTTCCTCAGCATTTGTCCGTGTGCATCCTTGATGTTGTAGAAGTGCTCCTTCTTCTGGCGATCCGATAGACTTCTCGTTCGCCTTCGCGAGTGTGCGGCTTCCTGCACAGCTCGGCCGTATGCTTCTTTTGCTTCTCTGACACTTCTTTCCGTTTCTCGTTTCGCTTCCAGGTAGCTTTGGTGAGAATCTTCTGATCTTGTCTTCTGCCAAGTTCTGTATGCCAACTTCTTTTTCTTTATCACGATCTTCGTCAACCACCATGGCTTCGTGCGGCCTAGCAGGTCGCCAGCTATCTGATGGATGTTGTATTTCAGAAACAACCAGGAGTGGTTTAAATCACTTTGCAATATCGGCAGGGCAGATTCCATTGACGTTCTGGTTCGGGCATTGTCTTTAAGCTTCCACCATTTGATGCGTACTTCTTGTTCGGTCATCGCCCTTCTTCTTCTGTCGACTGTGATATTGAGATCCAGTACCAGTGACCGTGTTGTGGCACGCATTCTTTACCTGGGATAACTTTGCTATCTTTTACACACTTGAGCTCGTTGTACCGCACGCTCCAGAAGTCTATCTGCGCTTTGTGGTCTCCACTTGCATACGTGACGAGGTGATTGGTCTTCTTGATGAAATACGTATTCGCCAAGGCTAGGTCGTGGGCTGTAGCGAACTCCAGAATACGTTCTCCGTCGTCGTTACGTGTCCCGTAACCGTGATTTCCATGGCACTGTAGACCACTTCGTTGTTCTCCGACATGCCCATTGAGATCCGCACCGATCAGTAACATCTCCTCTTCTGGTATTGAACTGACGTAGTCATTAAGCAGCTGCCAGAATTTCTCCTCCGCTTCTTCACATCCCACTTGCGGTGCGTAGGCCGTTACTACTG